TGAATTTAAATTCCAGGTCTCTCCTTAAATCCATCCTTGTCTATCCTTGAATGTCTTTCACCTGCCTTGACCTAAGAGGTCAGTTTTATTCCAACAAGACTGAAATATAACATCTCAATAAAGGAAAAAATTACCAGAGCACTACAACCTTTCCTTTGCTTTTTTTTTTTTTTTTTTTTTTTTTGGTTGCTATACTTGGAACAAATTCTGTCTGAACGGATCAACTATCCAATGCCCAGTGGCTTTGGCTGGCAGGTACATTCCAAAATGGACACTTACCCAGGATGAGGAAGGGAAAGTGTGGGCAGTGGATTGACAGGGAGCCAGCTTGTGGCCATATGCAAACAAAGAGCTTGAAGTCAAGCCTGCCTGTTCCTCCCACTCTCCCATCCTCTTCAACTTGCAGCCCAGCTGTCAGGACTGCCCAACTGCCTCTCCCATGCCAACCGGAGAACACTCTCTAGATGGCCTAGCCTATTTTTTTTCTGCCTCCCGTGGAGTCTTCACCTCCCCACTGTGCAAGGAGCAGACATCCTGGGTGTCTCATGTCATTATTTTCCCATTTGCGACCCCATGCTGTGAATTTAATTTTTGCACTGTGCATGTGAAGAATTGTCCATTTATATTCTTAAAGGCGAGAGAAGCCATTAAGCTTGTTCACATATTCCAATGTTCCTTCCAGTAACAGTGTGAGCTGTCCGATTTGATGGATTTTTGAAGCTGCGATCTTTGACATATAAAATGTTGTATAAGGCCTTTAAATTCTAGGACTGGGTTATTGGTGGGGGAGGGTTAAAAAAAGTACTTTCCCAGGAGTTGTATTTCTTGATGATTAATGCTTATGAAATATAACAGATACTATAATTTAGAAAAATGCCAGGTGACAAGAATGCAGCTCTTCATAGTTATTTCAAGAATTTTATTTTTATCCCACTATCCCCTCCAACCCCTCCTCACCATCTCCTACTCAACCAAGAAAACAAAACCTTGACATGGAAAGAAGTGAGAAGCCAAAGTGATTCCTTCCTTTATTCAGACCAAATGCTAGTCATATGTCCCGTCTTTCCCACAATTGCAGATCAACACACAAACGCACACAAAGATGCTTTACTCTCTGCTTCAAGCTTTGTGAGGAAAATGGATGAGGACGGGTAAGTGGAAGAAGAGAAGGAAAGACTACGAGGGTAGAGAAATAATTGTGTAACTGGATGTGCTACATCTACTTCAAAGAGGGAGCAACCATCATGTCCAAAGAACGCCCACTTCCTCTTGCTACTTTCCACTGCACTTTTTAAAAATAACTTTTATTTTTAGAGCAGTTTGAGGTTCATAGCAAAATTGAGCAGAAGGTACAGAAAGTTCCCATATACCGCCTCTCCCTCCATATGCAGAACCTCACTCTCATTACTAACATCCCCACTGGAAGGATACATTTGTCACAATTGATGAACTTATATTGTTACATCAATATCACCCAAAGTCTATAGTTTACATTAGGGTTTACTCTTGGTATTGTACATTCCATAGATTTTAACAGAAGCATAATGACATGCATCCACCATTATAGTATCATACAGAACAGTTTCACTGGCCTAAGACTCCTCTGTGCTTTGCCTGTCCACCCCTTCCTCCCTACTTGCCCCTGGCAACCACTGAACTTTTTACAGTCTCCATAATTTTGTTTTTTCCAGAATATCATATAGCTGGAATCATATGGTTTGTAGCTTTTCCAGATTGGCCTATTTCACTTAGAAATATGCAACGTTTATCCTTAACTTTCATAATTTTTCCACTTCATTTTAATTGAGTACAGACATGTTTACTAAACAAATCCTAGGATACAGTTAAAATGAACATAAGTTTCAGAGAATAGATGACATTAGCTTCTCAAGAAAGAACTAGAAAGAAAACAGTAAAGTAGTGTCTTCTTCTGCCTTTAGCTCCATTTTTCCATTTTAGTAATTTCAAACAAAACATCAAAAACAAAGTATGGGAGGCTGAGGGACACAGTGAAGAGAGCCAGAAAGATCTGGCTGTGAATCCCAATTCTCACTCTTGTATACCTATAAAGTTTGGTGGAAGTTTCTTAGCCTCTGTGTAAAAAAAAAAAAAAAAGCTGTTTTTAGAACTTCATATAACATCAGAACTGTATCCAGTGCATAAGGACTCAAAAAAAATTCATAATGCAGATGTGTGGCCATATACGATAATTAACAAAGAGTCATTCTCTTTCCCTGAACTTGAAACTGAAGAAAGTGAATGTGGGGGATCCCTGGGTGGCTCAGCAGTTTAGTGCCTACCTTCCTCCCAGGGTGTGATCCTGGAGTCCCGGGATCGAGTCCCACATCAGGCTCCCTGCATGGAGCCTGCTTCTCCTTCTGGCTGGGTCTCTCTCTCTCTCTCTCTCTCTCTCTCTCTCTGTCTCTCATGAATAAATAAATAAAATCTAAAAAAAAAAAAGTAAACGTGCCTTCTGAACTAGAAAAATGCATACTTGATGGTTGTACCAACTGTAGGTTTTAACCAATCTAAAGAATTTAGAAAAGCTCAAAAGTGAAATCAAAATAATTATAATTTAGTAAGAACCATCGTGATTGAATTGTATCATGTCTAAAGAAGGACTGAATATTGAAGAAAAAGAAGAAGAAGAAGAAGAAGAAGAAGAAGAAGAAGAAGAAGAAGAATAAGAAATAAACCAGAGGAGGATGGTCAGATGGAAAAAAGAAAAAAAGATGCCAACAACATCCCAGAGATTGGTAGGTTCCAGCCTACCCTGGGGAGAGTGACCGGGAATATGGAACATATGAACTCCTCAGGTTACGTATTGTAGAGCAGGTGTGGTTCATCGGGCATCACCTGACTTGGATGAAATATCCTTTATTATCTTTTATTTCACCTTCCTCTAAGCTGAACAACTTTCTGATTATTCATCTGGCTTCTGGTTGTATTGAAAAAAGTGTCCGGAATAGCAAACACCACCATCCCTCTTTAGAAAACAGTATCTCCCATTGTATATTCATGAATTGTCTCTCTGGGTTAATCTATTACAGTCTCTTTTAGGTTGATTGGTGTTACTTCACTTCTGAGCCCAGTAAATGCTGGGACACTGTGACTCAGAGGTGGTTTGAACCACAGTGAATTCACCAGCTGATTTGGTCTTTCGGCAGTGATCTCGTCTCCTCCTATTGACATCTTGTCTTCCTCTCACTACTCCTATGCCCTACCCTTTTCCTACCCATAATAGGAATCATTATTGATTAAAATAATGTTTGATTTCCACTGGAAGATGGAAGAAAATTTCCAACTGAAGAAAGATAGTGCTATTACAGAAAATGAAATAAAGGAAACGACCCTTTAGGTCATAGCAAAAAAACTCCTCCAAGCTTTCAGTTATTTTGGTGGTGGGAAGGGAACAATAATTCTCAAAGCAAAAAGTCTCAAATAAAATGTAACAAACTTTAAAATAAGAAGATAAGAGATATGTCACACAGTGAACAATATAGGAAGCAATTCCAGTGATCTCGGAGACGTGGGCAATAATTCTCAAAGCAAAATAAAATGTAGACATTTTTTTTAAATAAGAAAGTAAAAGATATGCCCCCCAAAGAAAGATACAGGGAGCATTATATTCAGAAACGGTAATTAAGAAACAAAAATAAAGACCTTGGTATTAGGCTATTAGGCTTGCCAACTGGAAATTTACTGAATTTAAGATAAAGGGCCTTGAAAGCTGCAACAAACTGAGTCCATTTTAGCAGACTATTCAAGACAGAGAACCCTCTCTCTCTCAAGTCCTTTGGAAAATAGAATTCAAGTGCAGTACTAATCCAATAAAGAATTTTCAAGAGTCAATATCAGCTACTTAGCATGGTGATAGGCACAAAGCCAGTAATGTTGACTCCACTTCCGTTACTCAGAACTATTGCTTTGCTATTAAACTATGGCCTTAGGGGATATTTAGGCCTTTTCCCCCTAAGCATCCCTCGTAATTTATTCCATCTGGAAGATATGCATCTAGCATAATTTAAAATTTTCAGGCTCTATTCTCTCCTGGTACAGAAGCATAACTCCCATTAGTGCTAATGAAAGCTATCTGTACATCTCAAGCAGTGCACCTCTCCTAAGTGTTTAAGATCCAAAATGTTTTATGTCCTGTGAGAGAAGCAGCATTAAAGAGAATCTGGATACAATTTAACAAGGTTAAAATGCAAAGGGTGGATTGTTTTCTAGATGACAGTATTCTTTAAAAAGTCTGTCATGTGGGTCATGTGGCGCACCTGGGTGGTTCAGTGGTTGGGCGTCTGCCTTTGGCTCAGGGTGTGTTTCTGGGGTCTTCGGATCGAATGGAGCCCCGCATCAGGCTCCCTGCAAGGAAGCCTGCTTCTCCCCCTCTCTGCCTACGTCTCTGCCTCTCTCTGTGTGTCTCTCCTGAATAAATAAATAAAATCTTGGGGATCCCTGGGTGGCGCAGCGGTTTGGCGCCTGCCTTTGGCCCAGGGCGCGATCCTGGAGACCCGGGATCGAATCCCATGTCAGGCTCCCGGTGCATGGAGCCTGCTTCTCCCTCTGCCTGTGTCTCTGCCTCTCTCTCTCTCTCTCTCTCTCTCTCTCTCTCTCTCTCTCCTCTCTCTCTCTCTGTGTGTGACTATCATAAATAAAGAAAAAAAAATTAAAAAAAAAAACACAACTTTTAAAAAATAAATAAATAAATAAATAAATAAATAAATAAATAAAATCTTAAAAAAAAAAAAAAAGTATGTCGTGTTTCTGTCAAAAAAGCCTAGCAGGGTTCCCACATACTCACTGGGGGAAAAAAGAAGAAAAAATAGAAAAGAAAGCATTTCCAACTTTGAACATACACAAAGACTGAGGAATACTACTATTTTTTAAAAAAGGAAATTTAGAGTTTGAGGTTGCTCTTCTTACCTTTCTTTCTTTTTTTTTTTTTTTTTTTTTAGAGGTGCCGGATATGTGTGTGCCTTAAGAGTATAATATTTTTACTGCATTCACTGATAGACCTTAAACAATTTGCTATGGTTCTTTTGGTTTGCTGTAGGATGCAAAAGGAAAAAAAAAATCTCTGTTTTTGTGGTGGCCTAGACTGAGTAGGGGAATATATTTGTAAGAAAAAAAAAAAAAAGAGGACATGCTTTATCTGCAGAGTACCCCTTTGCCTAGGGTCAGAAGCTCATCAAGTCTTGCACAGGCCCTCTCCTCCTTTAGATACAGCATAGAAATATGTTTTGTAAATTCGTGACTAAGAGTTTGTCATTTCCCACCTCCCTCTCACTCTGCTGCTGCTGGATTCTTGTTTTTCTGGCCTGTGTGTTGCTAGATTCCACAGAATATCTCCGAACCACACACCGAGCAGCCTGCAGCCACTTCCTTCCGCAGCATGACCAACCGTGGAGCTTCCTCCCGCAGGTTCTCCTGGACAGCTTGGGAGCTTGCTTGGAACCCCAGAACCTCTGAACTGCTGCAAGCAGTCTCAAGCCTCCCCCTCCCCACCCCCCCTTAATGAAACCAAGGGGATATTTAATGCTTCCTGAAAACAGAAATAATCCTGAGGAAGATTAAAGGATTTCATCATATTTTGGAATCAAATGGCTGCTCAAAAAAACTGGGATGGTCTCCAAGTTTTGATGTGGGGAAAATTTTGGTTATCACAACATTATCACTGAGGCTGTACACGGCACAAAACATTGATATAAAGCAACATCACTGCTGATTAAACACTATTAGCATATTCAGTTGGAAACACAAATGTAAACACAGATTTCCAATGTTTGCATCATGTACAATTGCAATATTCATCTTTGGGCAGGAATGAATAAATAGAGACTCAGAGAAGAAAAGCTAGTGTGCACACTCAAAGAATGTGTAAATGAATGCTTAAAGAAGCTGAGGAGGTCTTATTTATCTTATTTTAAAAAAAACTGGTTAACTTCTCTCTTTTTTTTTTTTTTTCTTTACAGCTTGTAGCTATTATGCACTTGTGATCTTGCCAAGTGGAATGTGGCTGGGAGCATATGTTTAATAAAAGTGTGTGCGGGCGTTCGCGCGCACACGCATTAAAGCAATACCATGGTTTCCTCTGAATCTGACAGATGTAAAGCACTTTGGGAATTGAGGCACTCCTCTATTTTAACTCTCCACATTATGTTCAGGCACTTGGAGTCTGAGTATATTAGAGCAAAGGGAACTAAGTAAACCTTATGCACATCAAGAACAGTAAGAGCTGACAGTCTGGAGCAGTTACTGTTGTTTGTCCAGATTTTGAAAGTGTTTTCCCCCCAGTTTCTTATTTAGTGCATTTTCAAGATGCCAGAAACACAATCTATGTTTCGCATAGTTGGTTTCTTCTGCACTGACTTCCACCAAGCTCACAGTCCATTTACAGCCCACCTCTACAACCATCCAGATCGTATTACCTGTACTTTGTCCTTTTACGTCCTTCTTTCTTTCCCTCCCACAAATTCCTAATTTGTTGTTCTAAGCCATACCAAATTCTTCATAGGACTAAGAGTGACAGTAAACAAATTATTCAAATATGCATCCATATTCATGAAGAAACATATTGAGAGAATGTTAAAGTTATGTTTATATTGGGCTGAAGTAGTTCTCTATCCAATGCTCTGTAGGCATCAAAGATGCAGCACTTGAAAGTACAAGTCTGAGATTCAAAAACCTGAATTCATATCCAAATTTTGCAACTACCTAATGATATAATTGTATAATTTCTTCATAGTCATTTAACCTTTCTAAGCTTCTTAATTTGTTAAGATGATATAGTTGCAATACATAAGTGGTTTTCAAATTTTTTTTGTAGTAAGATCCTTCATCTAATGTAAAAACTTACCTAGTACCAATATTTAAAAGAACCAAGATTGTAAGGACTCAAGTGGAAGCTGGATGGAGTATGGTGCTCCTTCTCTACAACCTTCTCTCTCACCTCCCATTTCACCTTCCTTGTCACCACCACTTCCTGCAGTACTTCTTCCATGAAACTGAGGAACATTATTGAAAACTGGTGAAACACATCATCTCTATGGACTCATTCAGACTGAAATTATTTCATTCTAAGTATACCTAGAACAAGAGTGGTAGTCAAAATGTTTAACATATGCAGTATGGGTATTGACCAGTCGGAATAAACCCTGGCTGAAACCAACCAGTAACCTCTATCTCTGCCTATCAGGTGAAGATCAGGTGAAGACTTTGAGATTCATACTAAGCATATTTAATCACTAATGAATAACTGAAGTTCACTTACAGGGTGAATATCCAGCAATACTACTTAGAGGGGCCATTGGGAGAACACAATGAAATAATAACTATGAAAGTACATGGTAGGCTATAACACAGATGAGGGAAGAGCATATAGACTCTATGCACCAATCAGTGCTCCTAAAACACGTACATCTCCCAAAATCAAATGTTAACTTTCAGATCCAACACAGTCTAAGTCTTTATTTTAAAAACAAAATGAAACAAACAAGCAAACAAACAAACAAAAAAACAGGGCACCAGAGTGGCTCAGTGAGTTGGGCATCTTTCTTTGGCTCAGGTCATGACTGCAGTGTCCTGGGATTGAGTCCTGCATTGGGCTCCCTGCTCAGCAGGGAGTCGGTCTCCTCTTCTCCCTCTGCCCCTTCCCCTGCTCAGGCTCTCTCTCTCTCTCTCTCTCTCTCAAATAAATAAATAAAATCTTTTAAAAATAAATTAAAAAATAATTTCTCTAAATATAAACTTCGTAGACACAGATGACTAAAAGTTTTACCTAATTAGCATCAATATGTACAGCACTTAACTTTTCCATCTGAAGCACCTGTATTCAGTTAGTTACTGGCATTCAAATCTTCCTTAAGGGACTTTGGAGGGCTGGTAATGTTCCATTTCTGGATTTGGGTGCTGGTGTGTTCAGTTTGCATGACTTTACTGAGCTGTATTTTTATGATATGCACACTTTCTCTATGTACTTATACTTCAACAAAGTTTAAAAAAAAAAAAAAACTCCCCAGGATCATAAGATAGACAATTTCTTTAGAGCTAATATGTGTGTTGGTTTTCTATTGATGAGTAACAAAATTACTATAAATTTAGCAGCTTAAAACAACACACATTTACTACCACACAGCTTTCATGTGCCAGGAGTCTAGCATCACTGGGTCCTTTCATCAGGGTCTCACAGGTTTGCAATCAAGGTATGGGCTGGGCCACATCTTCATCTGGAGGCTTGAGTGAGGAAGAATTTACTTTGAGGCTCTCTCAGGTTGTTGGCAAAATTCATTTTCTGGTGCTTTAGGACTGAAGGTCCATTTCTTATTGGTTATTGGCTGAGAGTCCCCCTCTAGTTCCAGAAGCCACTTGCATTTCCTTGCCATGTGACCTTCTCCATAGGCAATCCACAACATGGCAGTTGTTTCCTCAAAGCCAACAGACTCTGCTGAAATAGACTTATGTATAATTAAATACGATCATGGGAAGTATCAACTCTATCACTTCTGTCCATATTCTATTTGTTTGAAGCAGGTCCCAGGTGCCACCTACACCCAAGAGGAGGGGCTCTCTGGAGGCTTGCATCAGGGTATGTCCAACCCAATATCTAAAAGTGCTTACTACTTACGCTTACTTTTACCCAGAACAAAAATACAGTTGTCTTGAAAGGAACCTCAAGTCTCCAAAGCACAGGCAAAGTTTTGAGCAGTTTATGTCATCTGTATTTTGTAACTCCCTGGAACTTTATATGATAGCCTTATCAGCTTCATGGTCAAGAATTCAGTTTCATTGAGGATCACTCTCTTGCCTACATGATACATAGTGTGATAAGAAAGAGTCAGATATTGGATATAAAGTCTTGATCTGAGAATTATTGTCCAAGATGGAGATATGGATTTAGGAATAACTGAGAAAAAAAGAGAAGTGTGACATCTAAGTGTCCTTAAGCCATACTGGAGTTACATTTTCTCAATTAGAGGACCAAAAGATCCCAGGAGGTGGTGAACTAGAAGAAATGTGAGACCTAGCTAATATTAATTGATTGTACTCCAAAATCATATTTTATAATATTCTTTGGACCCCACTTTACAGCTGTAACTCACTGGGAGGTAATTGGGGGATACTGTTCAAAACCCTATACCTTGTCAACCAAACTATCAGCTGGCTTGGCTGATGTATTCTCTACCCACAATGAACAAGGATTGGGGTAAACCAAAGCAGGACTTTGAAGGCTCACATGTCTTCATAGACCTATACTGAATATTTCAGTTGTTGACTACTTGTGAGTTTGTTCGTCCCTTTACAAATGCCCCAGATTATCTCCTTAACCTTGAGATTTGAGGCTAAATTGTAAGTGAAAGCTATAGCATGAAAGAGCGGATGGTTGAGTCTGATGGTTAATTTCATGTGTTAATTTGACTGGGCCACAAGGTGCCTAGATATTTGGTTAAATATTATTTCTGAGTGTGTCTATGAGGTTGTTTCTGGATGAAATTAACATTTGAATCTGTACACTGAGTAAAGCAGATCACCCTCCCCAATGTGGGCAGGCCTCATCCAATCTGTTGAAGTCCTAAATAGAATAAAAGATAATTCTCCTGAGTCTAGACTTCTCAGCCTGCATAATCATGTAAGCCAATTCCTTGTAATAAATCTCTATCTCCATTTATCCATATATTCATACACATATATATAGAACCCTGACTAAATACACTAATGTTATTTACAATTAAATTCTGGATTTTACAGCTAAGCTGATATCAGAAATTATAAAAAGGAAGTTTTGCTCTTCCACTCATGGATTTCATATATCAGGATGCTGTTTTGACATAATTTATATAAAAATGCTTAATAAACTAAATGTCCTTTGTATACACCATTATTTTTCCTGTCACCTTAATAGGGATTTCTTTCTTTAAAAATTAGCATTCTAATAAAGAATAAAGAAATCTTTCAAAAGAAGAAAACAGCAACTAAAAATTAAAAGTAGGTAGCTTTTCTAATGTATATAATGATAAATCAGCTACATAAAAACCTACTACAAGGGGATCCTTGGGTGGCTCAGAGATTTAGCGTCTGCCTTTGGCCCAGGACATGATCCTGGAGTCCTGGGATTGAGTCCT